AAAAAAACAATAATTGCATTTTTTATTTCAATAACGCATGAGTAAACAGGGATATGAACGCAGATTTAATATAGGCCCATAGAATTACGGGGACCGGCAAGGATTTGGAAAGTCTGAATACAAGTCCTGCTTACACCTAACAAGTGCTGAAATGGGACATAACCAGAGGTAGAAAGGTCTCGGAAGCACTTGGGAAGAGGCTTCCCAAGACCTATCCAGTTCTGAACGTAAAGACCTAAGTAGAACTTGTCAGGTCCAATTATTCGACTCGGGATGTAAGGTTCAATATTTATCAGAATTTTCCATGGTTTTTTCGGAGATTTTTTCGTTNGCTGTCAAAAATATGTGGAAAAAGTGAAAACTGAAAGAAAAATTATTCACCGGGGGCCACAGGGTCAGATTTTCGATTTTTACTTGGAACAATGGTCAGATTTGTTAACACTTTCATTTTTGATTTGGATAATGCATGCAAGCGTAGGGACAAGAGTGGCTAGAATAGATTCTGCTACCTTCTCCCCTTGTTGGGTAAAAATGTCAAGCCTCCACATACATGCATCTCCCCTCCACCCTCTCGTGAAATGTCGATTTTCGAGATTAAAAAAAAAACAATAATTGCATTTTGTATTTCAATAACGCATGAGTAAACAGGGATATGAACGCAGATTTAATATAGGCCCATAGAATTACGGGGACCGGCAAGGATTTGGAAAGTCTGAATACAAGTCCTGCTTACACCTAACAAGTGCTGAAATGGGACATAACCAGAGGTAGAAAGGTCTCGGAAGCACTTGGGAAGAGGCTTCCCAAGACCTATCCAGTTCTGAACGTAAAGACCTAAGTAGAACTTGTCAGGTCCAATTATTCGACTCGGGATGTAAGGTTCAATATTTATCAGAATTTTCCATGGTTTTTTCGGAGATTTTTTCGTTGAATGAACGAAATAAATATTTCCCCTAGATTTCCAGAATGAAAAGGTCTATTGGGGGACGGGTATTTAAATTTGAAGATGGTTGTTTTGTATCAGGCCGGGTTGTACACAGAGAGAAATTTTTGATAAAAATTATCCTACCGTTCTATAAAAGTGTATTATGTGTTATCGTTTCCTCATTTCTATCCCGAAATTTAGTAAAAATTAATATATGATGATCAAATTTTATTCTACGTTAGAGAAATTTTATCCTGATAAAAATAAAAATTACTGTGCCGGTAGAGTAAAAATTACTGTACCGGTAGGATAAAATTTACCAACCGTTCTAGAATATTCGTTGTTATCTACATAAAAATTATTGGACTGGAAGGGTAAAATTTATTATGCGTCAGGATAAAATTTCTCTAACGTAGAATAAAATTTGATCATCATATATTAATTTTTACTAAATTTCAGGATAGAAATGAGGAAACGATGACTCATGATACACTTTTATAGAACGGTAGGATAATTTTTATCAAAAATTTCTCTCCGTGTAGCAAGCCCTCTTAAGTGTAATATAAGGGTCAGGCACCGAGTGTCAGAATGTAAGGGTTAAAAAGTGGAAGTTAAAAAATGAGGGTCAGAATATTAGGGTCAGAATATAAAAGTAAAAAAAGTGGATGTCAGGTAATGAGGGTTTAAATATGTCATATATTATGCTTGATCACCGGTTTTAGCCCTTACATGACCCTCGTTGCCTGCCACCCACTTTTTTTACTTTTATATTCTGACCCTAATTTTTTGATCCTAATATTCTGACCCTCTTTTTTTAACCCTAACATTCTGGCCCTCATTCCTTCACGTTTACATTCAAGGCCTCAGTTTTTGACTCTAATATTCCGACCCTCAGTTTTGAACCTCAACTTTTTGACCCTTATATTCTCACACTTAGTGTCTGACCCTTACATTACACTTGAGAGCGCTCGGTACAGCCCGGGCTGATACGAAGTAATCAGCCTCGAATTGAAACACCCATTCCCCATTCGAGTATAAAATATATTTGAATCAAGTATTTTTTCCATGAATAAAAATCGTTGTTTGAAATTCTTCTATTNGTTTACATTCAGGGCCTCAGTTTTTGACTCTAATATTCCGACCCTCAGTTTTGAACCTCAACTTTTTGACCCTTATATTCTCACACTTAGTGTCTGACCCTTACATTACACTTGAGAGCGCTCGGTACAGCCCGGGCTGATACGAAGTAATCAGCCTCGAATTGAAACACCCATTCCCCATTCGAGTATAAAATATATTTGAATCAAGTATTTTTTCCATGAATAAAAATCGTTGTTTGAAATTCTTCTATTCATTTCGACAATATTTTTCTTAGAAGGTTATAACCTTCTAAGAAAGGTTATAAAGCTCTAAGAGGTTATAAACCTTCTAAGAAGGTTATAAATTTATGAATTCATTTTGAATGAAAATGTTGCAAAAAGTTATCGAAAAGGAACAACAAATAAATACATGAATAAATGAATAAATAAGAAATGAATGAATAAATAAATAAATAAACAAATGAATAAATAAATAATTGGTGAATTCCAAATTAAGAATGTCTCAGGCTGTACGAAAATAGATGTTTCAAAATAAAAAAAAGAAATTATCCATTTGGAATTGAAAAAAAATTGCAATTATTTCAGGCGAATCGAACAATTTCAGAGTTTATTTTCATTAGCCTTCGTGAGACCTGTTTCAAGACGAATCCCCTCAGGAATGAGGACTCCCCAGCCCAAGAGAGCCAAGAAAACCCCATGCTCACACCAACAAATGAAGTAAAGAACTGAATGAATTTCAGAATGATTCCGTAATCTATGAACGTAATGACAATTCCTGCGATTTAGCCTCGACCGTGATTCATGAGGTCGTCGTGTACATAAAATGAAATATGGAAAAAATTAGGTGGGTCAGTGGAGCGTCGACGGGACGGTTTCGCGCACGGCCATGAGATGCCGAAGATGGATGAAAGGCGTTCAAGAAACTCGAGATGTTTACAACTCGAAAATAATTTCTTCCTCAATAAAAACGTTAAAATATTCCTCAAAACGCCTAATACCCATTATTTAACTATTAGTTGATATTAACCTACTTGGGAATATGAAATTAAGCAGTTTGTTGACGATCATTACGGTATTTTACATTTATGTCATGAATTTTCATTAGAAAAAACGAAAAACTGCAAAAAATTCGCAATAAAAAATAATAAATCATCAATAAAATAAATTCTTCCATATTATGAAAATTTCCCCGATGAGAGAAACCAAACGAATCGTTTTTTTTTTTTCAATTTTAAAACTGGGAAAACTGTGATGGAGTGAAAAAAGATCCTGTGCCATGATTTTAACCATGACGGATAGATTTACCCGCAACTCGAGTCCCCCCATCCTCTAACTGCCATGAAAATAGAACTCGTAAGCTGAACCACTCTAACGCGCCGATCAATCCGGTACGAAAAAAAATTTCCCAATTACAAAGAGTAAACCAGCACTCCCCCTCGATCAACTACTTCCATTCGGGGATTTAAAAATAAAAATGAAGTCATGCGCAATGTTTTTGAAGTGTAACATATCATTAGCCTCGACACCGGGTATTCGCCCACAGTTCCCGCCTTTTACGCAGCACAGTAACAACTCTAGCCCAGTTATTACTTATTTAGGCCTGAAATTGCTGGAGAAAGTTGAGGGGTCAATTGAATTATTCGATATTGTGATATATTTCAATGAATTTCAGCATTTTTCATTTCAATTTATTTATTTTTTTTCACTTTGGGCATTACAAGTCATTTCTGTTTGTTTATTGCTCTTGAAATCAATGAAAATAGATGAACGAAACAGAAATACGAGTTAAGTTGAAATAAAATTGACTTTAAATCTTGAGATGAATCATTTGTTCATGAAAAAAATTCTTTTTACGTGAAAATTCAGCCAAAATGGGAAAATTATTGGAGTTGATAATTATTTACTAGTTTTAAACTTTTTTTCAGGAGAATTCATGAATTTTCTGTTTGTTTATTACTCCAAATAACGAAATAAATAAATAAATAAATATTACAAGGAAAAAATATAAAATAAATTCAACTGGAATAACCTTTAAATATCGAAATTAATATTTTTTTAATGAAAAAAAAACCTTTTGACTTGGAAATTTATTCAAAAATTCATGTTCTACTTTTGAAAATTTTTCCCAGGAATTCCCAAGTTTCACTCCAGGCTTTTTCCGTCTTGGATGCGCGTCGTAGAGGCAGCGGGGCCTCTTAAAATGGGTGTGCTGCGTCGCAACAACTTTATTCCACTTAGAATCAAATTTTGATGAATTTAAAGTTACGAACTAATCACTCGAATAAATCCGGGAACTTCGATGCAATCAACGATGAGTTTGGCGAAAATTTTAAGTTTGAAAAATGAATAGCTCACCTGTGTCTTGACGCGTGCGTGCACCGTGTTTTGATTTGCTCGAGGGTAAGCGACTGACTGACGCGCTGTTCCGACTGGAGAGTACGGCGTTATATTACACCCACCACTGAGCGTCCCCTGTTTATCATCCCGCTACAGTCGACAACTGGAACTTGAACTACACGTCTATGATGAGGGTTTTATTTGGTATAGTCCGAGAGTGAAATAATTTTGCGATGACGGCTGGCCTTCAATTGTTTAAAATAAATTATGAAATGTCTGTTTTCAATCGGCTGCGGGATCGAGGAATGTAGTTTTAATTGCCTATTTAGCGGGAATTGAATTCTGATTTCTTTTGGATTTATGGGGGAGATGGATTTTTAATTAACTTGCTATTGGGCAGTCGTTATGACGTCGATTTTCATTATTATTTGGATCGCCAATCGTAACGAAAAGTATGAGTTACTGTAGGAGGAGCGCAGCTTCTCTGATGTTTGGAAAAATTGGGTGTTCTTTGTTTTCATTGGGGAATCAATAATTTGACAGGGAAACCATAGAAACCCGTAACGTGAAACTTAGTTCATGGGAATTTCATGGGATCTTTTATTCACACAATTCCGCAGCTTAACTGTGCGTTTGTTTTCAATATAAACGTTCAATGGAATTTAATTTTTCCAAATTTTCCAAGTTTTTTTATTTGATTTTTTTAATGAAGATAGGGAAAAATATCTTTTGGATTTGTGGGGGAGATGGATTTTTAATTAACGTGCTATTGGGTAGCCGTTATGACGTCGATTTTCATTATTATTTGGATCGCCAATTGGGTTTTCTGTGTTTACAATGGAAAACAAATAATTAGGGAAATTCTTAGAAATTTCATGGAATGTTTTGATTGGGCTATAATTGCAACGAAATTTTGACAGTCAAGCTCCACTATTAAACGAAACATTTTACTTAAAAGAGATAATGGCCAGTATTTTTCTGCATTATCTACCCTCTAATAAATGAAATGTCTCGATTAAAAGGGATAACGGCCCGTAAAACCTAAAAGTTGGACGACCTCAAAAACATAGAACATAGTAACCGTTAATTTTGACCTCGATGAACTCACGAATGAAAAAGTTTCGTAGAAAAATGTAGCAAACGGGCTAGAAAATTCAATGATTTTTTCTATAAAATAGTTTCTATTGGAAATTATATTGGAAAGTTCCATTAGCTGTTTTATCTGCGCCTTTTCTTCAATCGAAATATTTAATGGAAAATATTCTATTAAAAAACTATGGAATTCAATTTTTCTATACAACTTTCTTGAAATATTTTCCATAAAAATCCTTCGGCCGAAATTTTCCAAGTTTTCATGTTTGATTGTTAACATAAAAGAGAATAAAAATGGAGTGGAAAACACTTGGAAAATTCATGTCAATGAATTCCTACAGAAAATATTTCAATGGAAAAAGTAGTAAAAGAATGAAATTCAACCAATTTTTTGAACATCCTCTACAAAAGAAATGCTTGTTTTAACGATTTTATTCTACATTGATCATTAATCATGAATCATGATATGAACGTGTTCTATATTTCAATCCAATTCCCTGTTCCGACAAAATTCACAAACCAATTTATCCATAAAAAGAGCATTTAAAATATCCCCACCAAGAATATCGTAATACTTAAAAATAATAACGACTGCTTCACAACCCATTAGATATCAAGTCTCCCATGTTAATGAAATCGCTCCACCACTCAACAAGAATAATAACTCTCATTAAATCTCGGAACTGACGCATTCCACATGTACTCGTAATATTGTATCATCGTTCAAAGATAAATTCGTGTCACGAATGACTGGAGTATATCATCGAATCACTTCCAGGTCTAGGCCTCCGTGACATCATGCACGAGAGCTTTGATCACGCGCTGACGTCACTAACCCGTCTCGTCATCTGATTTTACTTCTCCTGTAGTCCGACAGATGGAACGGAAAAAAATCAACAGATATTGCGTCACGAGGCGCGTCCCAAGGTGGACTCTCTCAATTTCGTTAGATCGCGTCTGATAGGGAGGTGAATTCCTCGATAAATTTCTCTTCATTCATGGGCATTCGTCGATTTGATGAGCTGTTAATTGTTAATTAGAGGACGTGGACGACTTGGAACTCATTGGTCGGTCGGAGTCGGGTCTTATCGTGCCGCAGATAATGCCAGAGGTCCAGGCAGCAGCAGTAGAGGGTCACTGGCTCGTCTTGGACGTTCTAAAGATGGTAAAGACGGGAATTTCAATTCCTTCAATATCCGTTGATGCAATAGAAGGGATTTTTTTTCATTTGAGTTGATTGGGAGATTTAGGTGGGAGGAGCGACGGTAGATGGCAGTCGATGTTAATAAATTTTTAAATTAACTGCACTGAGAAAAAAATTTTCTAATATCTGAAACATTTTCTTGAGAGAAGTAAATTTTCTTCAATTGCTTAATTCTCTCAGGCATCTCAACTCACATGACCCAAGAAAGGCCTCATGCTTTAAAATATTCTTGTACTCAAGTATGATTTTGTCGCAAATGAACTTACTTAAATCGCGTAGAAGAATCGTCAATCTTCTAGTCTTTATTGTTTTCATGATTTTTTCGTTATGCACTTCCAATATTGCAATATGTAAAATATTCATGACGTAACGCGGAACGATAGTGATGAATGAAAATTTATTCGAGTTCCGTTCGAGTAGCAAATCTTGAGAGTTTTACTGGAATATATACGAAAATTACTACATTGGGATGGTAAAATTACTATTCTCGTGTATGAATTCATTTGTACTCGAATTTTCCAACATAATTACTGGAAATATTGAACATAATTTCTATTTTTTTGCTATACACAATTATAGTGAAATGCCAATCATTTTTCCAAAGTTACAATAATAATTTTTCTTTCCTGCCCCCGTCTGGGGAGGAAGAACCTTCGGAAATGTTTAGGGTGAGAATGAAATCGATTCAAAGAATTTTAAAAATTCCTCCTCTGCACGGAGAAATTTTTGATAAAAATTATCCTACCGCTTTATAAAAGTGTATCATAAGTCATCGTTTCCTAATTTCTATCCCGAAATTTAGTAAAAATTAATATATGATGATCAAATTTTATTCTACGTTAGAGAGATTTTATCCTGCCGCATAATAAACTTTTTCATCACGCTGTGACGAAAAGTGAACTTTTCGGCACGCGGAGCGTGCCTAAAAGTCCAATTTCCGCCACATTATGATGAAAAATATTGTTCGTAACTCGTGAAAAAATGTTTTTTAGCTCGTGGGATTATATCACTCGCCTTCGGCTCGTGATATAAACCTCCCACTCGCCAAAAAACACTTTTTTGCACTCGTTACGAAATATACTATACCCTTCCAGTCCAATAATTTTTATGTAGATAAAAACCAAAATTCTAGAACGGTTGATAACTTTTAAGGCACCGGTACAGTAATTTTAACTCTACTGGAACGGTAATTTTTATTTCCATCAGGATAAAATTTCTCTAACGTAGAATAAAATTTGATCATCATATATTAATTTTTACTAAATTTCGGGATAGAAATGAGGAAACGATGACTCATGATACACTTTTATAGAATGGTAGGATAATTTCTATCGAAAATTTCTCTCCGTGTGCACTAGGAAAAATCCTCTGAATCTCAACTGTTGGATTAGAATAGCGAAATTGTTCTTTTTACTATGAACTCAGCAGCTCGACGCCTGACATGAAGTCCATCCCACGTAGGAATAGGTGTCAATTGGCCCGAGCCTCCACTCTTCTCCGAAGAGCTTTTTCCATGATAGCTGGAGCTACTCTCGCCGCTTGTCTCAGTGGAGACCCTGCTGCTGTCATCTCCCCCGTATTTTCTCTCCTTAATACGAAGAAACATCCATTATCATCGTAAGTCAGTTCCCTCGTTTTTGTGAAGGTCGATAGTTACCCATCGTAAGCAGTCGTAGAGGATCCAGAAGTGGATTAGGTACAGCATTAGTGCGAAGATCGACAAAACGCAGATGACGAAATTGTGGATGAAGATCGGGTGGAGGAGTAGCTCCTCGTCGGAGACTTCTTCGACGTTTATGTGAACCTCCGCGTGTCTCATGGAGAATATACCGCTCAGGAGCATGAGTGTGCCGCCCAGGGCGCAGCCGGAAGTCGCCTCGAGCGGACGAAAATAATCATCAATTCCAGACACGAAAAATTTTCATAGGAAAACCGAACGAGTCCGGTGGAAAATTTTATCTGATTTCTATAGAATTTCTATTGGAAATTCCATTAGTTTTTGGTCGATTCTACTGACGAATTCAGCTTTAGAAATTATTTTATAGGAAAAATTAGTAGAATTTACTATTTTTATTGAGATATTTTCTGTAGGAATTCCGTAACATGAATTTTTAATCTTCATTCATTCTATTTTTTGTTGTTTTCAATAAAAAGAATAAAACAAAAAAACTCGGAAAATTTGAGCCAAACAATTTATTTAAAAAATATCTCAATAGAATAAACTGTATAGAAAAATCGAATTTCATTGATTTTTCAGGCAAGTATTTGAAAATAAAATAAAATAATAAAATTGTTTAGAAAATTCGCGAGGTTTTCCTATGACATTACTTCGACTAGGAGTAGCAGGGAATTTACTCACAACCTGAAGCTTCCACTTCAAAGTGTGAAAGAAAAACCACATTATGGAGAGAAGGAGACTGATCGTCATGCTTATGGGGAGACCGAAAAATAGGAGATTGCGTTCTTCTGGGATATGCGGGACGTCTGGGTTCTCCTCTCTGAGAATTCTGTTGACGGCGTGATGGATGTGGTGAAATAATTCGACGGCTGTGACACTTGCCTGGAATTAATTAGACGACAATTGGGGGGAAAAAGAAGAAGAATTTTCATTATTTTGATTTTTATTTCAATGAATCGATCGTCAGAATCACTCATCAAAATTTTGCATGATCGATAAAAAATAACAGAAACGATAATATCGCGAAAAAAGAAAAAATGGAAAGCATAGTGCTTTCTATAAGAAAATCAATTGAACTTCTATCAGTTGTTGTTTTCAAATCAATCAACTTCGCACATTTTTTAATAGATGTTTGATAAAAAAGTTAAGAGATGTTGATTCAAACTTTCATTTAAGTCCTATTCGATAATCAGTTACTGAACATTTCGCAACGATTTTATTATTGAAGTTTGACAGTGAAAAATCGCAACTCATTGGCTATTCAGGAATTTTTATTTAAAAATTTAATGAAAAATGCCCTGAATCTAGTGAAAATTTTGTAAAAGTAATATGATCTTCACTGAAGTTACTCCATTTTGTTCTAAAGTTCTGATAAAAATTGCTAAAAAGCCAACACTACATTTTTCTCTCCAAGTTTGAAGGTCTGAACTTAATCTTCTATTCAAACAATAAGAAAACATTTAAAAAATCTGAAGAAAATATGAAGTATTATTTTTCAAGAACATCTACGAAGCAATTGACAAATTAAAATTTTGAGACTACAACTGCGAATAAACCATTTTGGACATCGTGAATAGTTTTTTCAATAAATTATTTTGCAATAATTCCAAATAAATTGGATGTAAAAAAAAAAGACTTTAAAAAATCCGAAAACAAAAATAATAAAAATAATTTCAAGATGGGTTCAATCATTCAATCGACGAATTAAATGAAAAAAAATCTCAAAATCCTGTTTTTCCAACTACATTAAGGTAACCCAACGCTTAAAACACCCCCCCCCCCCCCCCCCNCCCCCCCCCGACGAGTGCAAGTGACGAAAAACCCTAGAACTCAATCAAATCAAAGAAATCAAATCCACAAATAAAAACGTAGGAAAAGAGAGCTGAGAGAGGCGGAAGTTGTCTCGTGTTTCGTGAATCCCCTACGAGGCATCAATTCAAAACACCGAAGACCTAATTTTTATTGCGTACACGCAGTGTCTCGCATCCTCGAACGTGATCGTGGATTCAGCCGTGTGTTAATCGTGGAAAATAAAAGAAATGGCGAGAGGCTAACTACACGACACAGTTTTATTATGTAACGAGACACCTCAGGCCCCCTGATACACTTTTCTATCCTCATTTGTGCTCTCAATTTTGATTTACACTTCCCTTTACGACATTTCTGTAAATTGTTAATTCACGTTATCGGTTCCTAGGGAGATAAGGGGCTTTTCAGTGGGTTAAGAATGAGGTTAGCAGGAAATTCATCAACTCACGAATTCTGACAAATGGAGCAGTCCGTGGACGATCGTGGAGATGCTTGCGTTTCTGTGGAATTTGCGAATTTCAGCTTGATAAATGCTGCTTATTCGCGCTGCCTCGCGTAATTCCTCGAGCTCCACTGCGCCCGAGTCCTCCGCCATATTTCATGTCATTAGATTTTTAGGGGTTTGAAAAATTGAAGATGAAGTAAGGAAGGGTAGGGTAAAATGGACACTAGACTTTTTAAAAATTATTCATAACTCAGAAACAAATGTATCAATAGAGCTCAGTTTAGGCTCATCACAAAGGGAAAGAATTGCTCTTTGTATTGAAAAAAAAAATTAATTTCATCAACATTTCAACCCGTCACTAATATTTTTAAAAAAGTCAAAAGTGTCCATTTTACCCCAACCTCCTCTACTTCATGTTCGTCCGGATTGTTTCATGTGTTGGATTAGGTGATCAGCAGTGATTTTGAAAGGGTGAAATCAGTAGAAAATGATTTTATAGAAAATGGATGAGGAGAGGAGTGAAGATGATTTGCAGTGAATCTACTGGAATTTGAAGGAATTTTTTCGTTCAAAATTCACAATTCACAATTGCAGTTTTTCGTTTCGACTGTCTAATAATCACAGAAAAGAACTGAACCCTTAAATGAAACAATAATAATGATATGATAGCAATCTTGTGACTTAGGGATAAAATATTTGTTGATAAATGTTCCTCTATATATTTTCTATTTTCTAGATATTTTCATCCCGAAAAGGCACCGTCTGGTGTGAATTATCCGCCTCTTGAGCCAAATATTTCGTTGCTGTCGAAAGCAGAACAATTATTCATGTTTGAGACTTTCAAATTCGAACCAAACAAATTGGCAATTTTTGGCTATTTTTAACGGTGGCCCGTCTTATTTTCCTCGACATTTTTTCCCCAACTTTTTCCCTTTGTAATTTTCGGATTCAATTTGTATTTTTTGACGTACATTTGGTCAAAACAGTTTTTGATTATAATGATAAGTGGGGATTATCCTTCTTTTGTAAGCCTCAACCGAATTACGATAACCCGGTCGTTGATTGATTTTCGAGTGTGTATTGATTTTTTTGATGAGAGCGGATAATCTTCATTCATTTTTGCAATTGACGTCTTGTTTCATCGATGAAGAATTGAAAGAAATTAATGAAATTCGTAATTGAAATTGTTTGTTTGTCTATTTTTACTGACTGTATTGCATATGAACTGTTCTTGTAATATTTAATTTTTAAAAACATGATTATGACTTGTATTCATTTTTTTTCATTCGCTTTACTGTTCGTAGGGATTATTATTTGCTCAGGTATCGATGGGAAAAAGAGGAGACAGTTTGTTTTAGGAAAAAATGTCAGGGAAAAAATATCGGGAAAAAAGTGTCGGGGGAGAAAAGTCGTGGAACCTTTTCAACTAGCGATTTTGTTGGCCCAAACGAGACTTGTTTGATAACCTGTTTGTTTTTCTCTCAGTGTATGCTCGTCGTGATATTTACTGTTTCACTATTGAAATAATCATTATCAGAATTCTGGCATTGGCCAAAAATGAATTGTTCGAAGCTCAAGTCCATCGATAAATTGAATTTACCTAATGTACATAAATGCTATCAAAATTTTCTGAATTTTCCACCTGATTAAAATCAACAAGCAAACAGTATGCGGATCTAGTGGCGCCTGGTGTGTAAATGCTGCCCGGTGCACATTTAACGCCCGAGAATGGCGCCTCCCTGGAGCCTTTCTCCAGGCATGCCTGTCGACCTTCATCGAGGTAGGATGGGACTGAAAATTCCTCCCGGGCAAATCGACTTCTCTCTCACCTGCCTCATTCCTCCTTACAATGAGAAAAAAAGTGAAAAAAACTTTTATTATTTCCCTGACGGGGCGCTTTGTCTCCCAATTTTTCACGGTTTCCAGTTGCGAACTGAAATGCTGAGACGGACTGACATAATGAGCGAGCCAATCGTCGGATCTCCATGGGCTTCATGCGAAAGTGAATGGATGGTGATGATCAACGCCGCAATTTCCCTTGTCAGCTCAGCCACTTCTTCTCTCTCTGCATGACTTTTTATTTTCCCGGTGGAATCCGGATGTTTCGGGCTTTTATTTCAGTCTCAGGGGTATAATTGATATAGGTGACGGGTGTGAAGCACGAGGGGGTCTTAAAATCAGTGAAATATTTTGTGGAAGATAATTTGAAAAAAATGGGGGGAAATAATTACATGGATAACAATAATGACTGATGTCTAATTAATTAGTTAATAATATTTTATGGAATGTCATTCCGTAAAATAGTTTTCCACAATTCTGTTGAAAAATAACAACATTTGTTATTTTTTAGCCGTGAATTTTTAGATAATTTGTGTCGTGAAATTTGGGTGAAAAATTTTGTCGTTAAAAAAGTTGAGGCGACGCGTTTTTTTCAGTTTGCAATTGTGCAATTTCCGGAAATTTATAAAGAGATAAAATGAATGATAATAGAAATGAATAATATTTAAAAAATTATTGATAGTATTTTGTGAAATGTTTGTTGATAAAATCGTTTTCTAAATTCAAACAATTGATTTTTTATGCATAAGAAAGAAATTTCTTATTGAACATTACTGATTATTTATTATTTTTTGATCATTTGTTGCATAAATTTTGACTGGAAAATTTTATAAATAAAAAAGCGCTTCAAAGAAGTGTTTAATGTTTCCAAAATTCATTTTTTTTCATTTCCAATTCAGTTTTGGAATTTCCTACAATTGGAAAAATATTAAACACAAGTGGCGACAATAATAAATAATATTTAATAAACTATTAAAAAATATTTGATAAAAGTTTGATGTGATCAATGTGATCAAATGTGATTTTTCGTTCATAAGATGCTTTCAAAAGAAGTGATTTACCCCAAAATATAATTTTGATCCTGCTAAATTTTTTTGTAATCTGTCGCATGAAATTCAATTGCAAAATATTTTTAATTAAAAAAATCGAAGCGTCTCATTTTTTCGTGGAAATATTTGCACCTATTTCCAACGTTGTTTGTAAGAATTCAATTTTTCCATTCCGTCATTGAAGAATTCAGTTGTGCAATTTCTTCCTAGTGCAGAAAAAATAATCGAGCCCGTAAACAACGGAATCTACTGTTACACATTTCCCTCTAACTAAACTGCTCATCTTGTCATGTGTTCCTCGTCCCATCTCTCAACATATCATGACGGCGTGTTCCCTTTGATACCGTCTCAGCATTCGTCAACATCTTGTAATAATGCGACCGTTTATGAAGTACCCGTGTTGTAAGTGGGTTAACGACTGGCGCCATTAATTGTAGGCGGGAAATATTAATGGAAAAACTGTTTTTATGGGATGAGGGGTACGGAGTGACGAGAGACTCGTGAAAATTGGGTGAATGGAGAAGTCGATTTGAATTGCTGTTAGAATGTTCTTGAGACTGAATTCGTTGATGAATTTTTCTATTCTTCTGGTGTTATTAGAGAAGTTTAACCCTCGATCACTCGCTCAAGGAACGCGGCGCCGTCCGCTTTAGTTTTTTTATATTGTCGCGTGTGTCTCAACGCTCAAAAATTCTGAAAAAATTAGAGTTCCTAGTTCAATCCTTTCGTTAAGCGTTGGCGTTGTCCGTTTTTTTCTCGGGAAATTTGTTTCGATAAAAAAGAAAAGAAACGTCGAACGGACAGATACGCGGCGGCGCGCCGCGCGGTGCGAGTGAGTCTCTGTCAGTCTTTGTCGACCCCTAGAGCGACAGAGTTGCTACATTCACTGTCACACTTGGAATGCGCGCCTAGCGGTGAGCGCCAAGGTGGCAACAGCGCGGTCGGAAAAAGGTGCGACGGAAAAAGGCTCGCGTCCGAGCGAATAAAATCTCTCTGTATATTATAAAAATCAAAATCGACTTCTGGTGACAAAAAATTGGTACTCGAAATCAAGACTTCAGGATTCAAGGTCAAAAACTAAGGTTCACAAGCAAAATAATTATTTTAAGTCAAAATAAAGGTCGCGAGGGGTACGAAGGTCAGATTAAGGGTCACAAGGACCGGATTAAGGGTTACAAGAGTCTAAATAAGGGTCATGGGAGTTAGAATAAGGGTCAGAAATGAAGGGTATGAAACTACGGGTTACAACGGTTAAAATAAGGGTCACGAGGGTTACGAAGGTCAGATTAAGGGTCAGAAGGACCGGATTAAGGGGTACAAGAGTCAGAATAAGGGTCATGGAGCGATATGGGGGTTGGCGAGCGGAGCGAGTAATAAATATAAAACTAAAAACCCAATTATTCAAGATAATAATATTTTTTTTAGTAAAATATAGTAATAGTTTTTTAGCTGGTTTCTCTGTTAATGAGTCAAATTGTGAAGGATTGTTAAGGTGCACTGATCTTCAGATATACTATGATTTGCGGTACGTCGTTGAATCAAAATGGATCGATTCTATCGCAGGAACTGTCTCACCCGCACATTTTTAATCCTCAATCATGTCCGGTTGTAAATTCCTTCCGTTCATTGAATCGTCTATCATTCAAAAATTCCTAGAAACTCCAGCAATAATAACACACTGCTATTATCCCTCCCGGAAAATTGAAATAAATCTTTTGGTGGTCGTAAACTCTGATCTCCATCAAAAGGGTAGGTGTAATAAAAGTTGCATGTGCGGGCTACCTGTTTCTGAGCCCTCGCTCCCTGTGGAGGGATTAAAGACACCTTCGCACGGGTCATCAGGTGTAGAAAGACTTTTAAGTGTATTAGAGTGAGGTGCACAGGGCCAGGTAGGTTACCTCACACTGGTGGAAGAAAATTGAATTTCGTGGACGTTGACTAGTAGTTTTATTTCGGTAGGAAATATAAAATTTCATATTTCACTAACAATTCAATGAAATTAAACAATTTTGAGCAGCAAGAAGTCAAGAATTCCCCAGTTTCATCGAATTTTCAATCAAAACATGACTATTCAGTACCAAATTAGAGATTTTCAGTTAATTGAAAATTTACGAATATATTTAGTTGAACTTTCCTGATTTCCATCGATTTTCGTGGAATAATTGAACTGAAATTTACAATTTCCATTGATTTTTTCGTAAAAGTTTAAATTCTCAACGACGAAGTTTCTTGAAATTCAAGTGGAACTATGATATGATAAAA